CTGCTGCAGGGCCGCTGCGACCGGTCTGAGGTCCTCATCCCTCAATGAGAGGGTCACCTTGGACCTGGAATGGACATACATACATACATACATACATACATACATACATACATACATACATACATACATACATACATACATACATACATACATACATACATACATACATACATACATACATACATACATACATACATACATACATACATACATACATACATACATACATACATACGTACATCAGGGGGAGCAGATTAGGGGTAGAGGGCTTAAATGACGCCCGGGAAGTCGGGGGGGGAAGGGGTTTACAACTCTGAGGGGGAGGGGACAAGAGGATTCCTGTTCAAACCCCTTTCCCCCCTCCTCCACTTCACCTTCCCCTCCCTCACCCCTAAACCTTTACGTTCCTCCTCCCCCATTTGTTAACACAGAAAACCCCTTCTTAGCGGATACAGCGGAGACCTTCTTCGTGTCAGGATCTGGGTTTGCACCTCTCCTCCCCCCTGAAACCCCCCTCCCCTCCTAGCCGCCATGGGCCGCTCACACGCTGCTCCGACATCATCGCCGCAGTAACAGGTAAAACCCCTTTTCCCCCCTCCCCCCCCCCTTTCTCCTGCCTTATCTTGGGTGGTAGATCCCCCAACACGTTCTTCTTCAGCCTCCGCACCATCACCGCCTCCTCCAGCACCAAGTGCAGCTCCCCCACGTTGCAGCTGCCGCGATAGTCACCGGTGAAAGTGGGCGAGGGCGGGGGGGAACGGGAGGGGGAGGAGGGGAAGGGAGAGGAGGGGAGACCGCCGCTGTGCTGCTGCTGGTGTTGCTGGTATTGGCCGTGGGTTGCCGCCCCCCCGGAGTAAAATCACGGAAGCAGTGGGAAGACATATCATTGGGGGGGAAGGGGGGTTTGGGAGGGTTTGGGCGGGGGGGAAAGGGTGTCGTCAAAGGGCGTGTTTGCGGGAGAGAAAGAGGAGGGGGCCGGTGAGAGAGGGGGCCGGGGCCGGGGCGCCTGACATGCACCTTAAACACACACACACACATGCTCGGGTGTGCGAGGTATATCCAGCGCGAGACAGCCGGATAAACAGATATACAGACTGACAGACTGACACAGATGCATGCAAACGCCCACTCCCTCCCTCACCCACATGACGTGCGATATCAAGCAAGCAAGCCACCTTCCTTCTCCGGCCCCCACCCCCCACCCCCCACCCCCCACCCCTCAACCCCCCTTCCCTCACCCTAGCCGCATACGCCTGGCCGCTGAGACAGT